AGAAGGCACAACTGGTTCTTAGCACCACAAGGATCAGAGGGATAATTACACCTACTGTATCCTAGTAATTTACTTGACCTTTCCTTTTACAAATACCACCCAGACAAAAACTTCAGTATTGCCAACAGCACTTTGGCTGTGGGTAAGGAAGTGTGTTTAAATGTTAAATGTAAAAATTAGTACTGGAAAGTACATATTGCTAAGTGGGCAAGTGTGTCCCATGAAATAGAGCTTCATACTTTGAACTTAAGAACTGAGAGATGGCTGTGTCTAAGTTGCACTTGAAGTTGTGTATACAGAAGGAGGTACCTTCCATCCGTCCTTTACTTCAGAGATACAAGGTAGATAGGCATCTGGAAATCACTCTATACTCTTGATCTTGAATGCAGTGTATGCTTTCATAAAGTGCTGAACAAACCAGAAAATTCTTCTTCTTTCCCTCCAAATACACATCTAGCTTTCCACCCTGCAGTTTCTCATATTTATATTCCTCCTTGTGTACTCAAATGACATGAGAACTTGCTTGAAGGACTACCATAGGAAAAATGAGTGTTTCAAGATGTGCTAGTGGCTGCAAGAGTTATCTTGCGGTTTGAATTCCTCCAAATTAAATATGACTGACAGCACTAGTCAGCTAACAGACTTATCTAGGGAGGAGGGAACCAACAAAAAAAACTCCTCAGCACATTTTTTGCAATATTGCTTCTTTATGAATTTTCCTTAAAGGTTATTTTTACATCTAAGAGAGACTTTGCTTTAAAAGCTTCTATGTGGGTCTAAGCAAAAATTTTAACAAAAATTTAAATTGGTGGTATTTCAGCTTGCTCAGTTAGTGGCAGCAAATGGAAATGGTGCTGAAAGCAAACAGAAATGGCCATGTACAAGAGTTGTCTGTACAGCATTTACAGGAAAGACTGAGTCTTGGTCTGGACTCCTAGACATACACCTGCAGTATAAAGTTAAATCATGTTTTAAACTAAACTTCCCAGTAAAGGTAAATGCTAACAAAAGTAAAAGTTATAAGGAAGGAGATGCTTTTCACTCCTATGCTGTTAAAGCCTGTAAAAAATTCAGCCATCCCAGTTGGTTACCACATCTCTAACCTATATAAATCAAAGCTTTGTTTTAAATGAATAAAACCACTTTGGCACACAACCATATCGTAGCAGTATGATGCATGCCTGAATATTCCTAAGAATGCCCTCAGAGGTACTCTGTGAGCAGAAGTATTCTTCAGAAGGGAAGAAGAGGGAGTACAAAGACCCATTGTGCACACTAATGCAGAAAAATGAAATCAAATACCATTCTCAGCAAAAGCAGAGTGTCTTCTGAGCAAAGGCTATTAAGTGTGTCAGACTGCAGGATATTTTCTGGACATGGCAATTATGTTAAGACATACTGAACATGTGTCACTTATAATCTTGCCCTGGTTGTAACATCACAGCTTCAGAGGAAAAATGTCTGGTGCAACAATTCTTTGTATCAAATACACACAGTTCTCACGAAGCTGTCACTTCTCATTTGTAAAGAAGGTTAGAGTAAGTTATAATTACTACTTGCTGCCCTGTCAACTAATTAAATATAATAAAAAGCTTTCTGTGAGTTTAATGTTAACATGATGTAATTACAGCAGCTTTGAATGCACAGTGCATGTATTACAGGTTTCGGTATTTGCTCCCCACCTATGACCTAAATTCTCAGGTTAAACCTGTCATATGACTAGTGAGCAGGCACTATCAAAGACAACTATTCAGACATAAATACAAGTCAACCAAAGCAGTCCTGTGCACTTTTAGAGGCACAACATCAGCCTCTGGGGGCAGAGGTGGAAGGAAGGAGAAGAAAGCCAGCCAGTTTCTCCCTTCCACTTTTCTTCCTCTTCCCTTCAGGAGGCACCCTTGCTCAAATTCTCCCATCCACGAGGCTCCCACTGCTCTGAGCCTTTTTCCTCCCTTTAGTAAGGAAAAATACTGCTGATACTTCAAAGCCGCTTCAACCCCATCTCTTCATCAGTCTGAGGAGCATCTTGGTAGAGGAGGACTGAGTGCAGCTGCCCAACTCTGGGGCTGGCTCTACTCTTCAATAAGTAAGAGTTACACCATACAAAAACCTTTTACCCAGGGAAGGAAGGAAGATTTGCTCGGGAGGCCTAGAGCAGAGTAGAAGTGATGATGGAGACCATGTAATGCTCCAGCACTTGGGCTGACATAGCTCCTTATCCAAGTATTTGGATGATCTTTGAACACATTTAAAAATGGTGAAGAGCAGAGAAGTCAGGCTTTAGATCGGCCAAGACATTGGCAGCTACAGCTCTAGTCAGTTGTGCCTACTGCATTTTTCACACTTTCCCACTCATACTCCTCACTCCTCTTCTTTCCCTGTTAACATTCAAGGTCAGGTTGTATGGGGTTCTGAGCAACTTGATTTAGTGGAAGATGTCCCTGCTCATTGCAGGGAGGTTGGATTAGAAGAACTTTGACGGTCCCTTCCAACGCTGACCATTCTGTGATTCTATGTAAGTTAGGTACAAATAGCCCACAAAATAAAAATGTAGTTAATTAAACAAAAATGTAGTCTAAAAGAACCAACTAAAATGATGAAAATCTTTAATTTTATTTAAGTATAGTTGTACGGACACGTGTATATACAAATACAGATCTTATGGGGCAGGGATTTTGTTGCCTTTTTTTTTTAACATTTTCCTTTAAGTTTATATAATGTAAGCATTTCAAAAACAGCACTCAATGAGTAAGTGCAAAGAAACTGCAAAGCAGGGCAGTACAAGCACAGGACCACACTGAGCTGGACTTTCATACCCAGATGCATACACAATGAGTGTCTTCAATGGGGTGTCAAGAGTAAGCATGGTAAGCGGATTTCGCAGACTCATGGGTAACCTCCAACATGCCAGCATCTATTAAACTGTACAGACAATGGCAGCAAGCCTATTGTAGGGAGATTTGTCTCACATTCGAGAAGCTCAAGGGTGAATGCATGGGAAAAACTCAGTGATGCCAGACCAGAAACAGATCTGCCCATTCACAGCTCCAAATTAAAAAAGGAGGAGGGTGGGAGAGGAGGAAGGGCAGGAAGAGGGAAGAGAAGTGTAGAGGGTTGTACATTAAAACTGGTGATTACAAAATCCAAGTGTAATGAAAAGAGGGGAAGAGTTAACACTCTAAGCCTCTGAAAGTGACTGAACCACTGCACTCATAAGGCAACGGATTAAGTTCAGTTTTGAGGGCTAGGGGTGAGAATCAACGGGTACAAATAGAACCATTTTCCTTCCACAGTTACAGAGGAAAGGAAACAATCTACTCAACTACTCTCAGTACTTCCCAAATTTGTTTCTAGTTCTTTTGGAACCAAGTACATACACATATCGCAAATGACACTGGCAAGATCCTTTCCGGAAAAAACTACTCATGGGAACAAAACCAGAAGAAAAACAGGAGGAAAAAAATACAAATAAAAAAGAAACAAACAAACAAAATAACAGAAAAGTTGTTATATCCCCAAAGCCTTTTTAGAAACAAACATGATACAAAAGAACAAAAACTAACACATAAACCACAGGGCTCCAACATCAGACCTTTAAACACTGAGGACAAAACACTGATCATCAAAAGTCATGTTGTTCCAGGTCTTGACATTGTGAAGTCTTGCAACAGATGAACGATTTTCAAAGATGAGTCCTGTATGCTGCAGTGTCATGGCCACTTGTCTCTCAGTTCTCAGCCATGATCACACTTGATGCTTCAAAGCTCTGTCTTGTAATCAACACGTGATTTTAATATCCTGAAAGTCTATTGTTCTCACTTACAAAAGACATAAGAATCAAATTAATACTTTATTATCAAACACTATATACAACAGAGGTTGCTAATAATACAGAATTTAAAGAACATAGCTTTAAGTTTTACTTGTCTTTCCTTCGCCATCCAAGTAAGTACAGTACAAAACAATATTCTAAACTAACACGAAATGTTACCTTGTCTACTGAAGGATACACAGTATCCACTAAGCTGACTGATCCCTATTTTGCCTGCTTCACATTGCAATGCACTTGGCAGCCAGGACTGCAGGTCACGGGCGTAAGTAACCCACCTAGGCTGAGGGAGAATCAGTACCTCAGATTTGAGCTGGGGCAGATAAAGGGTAAGGAAGCAAAAATCTCCTCAATTTGCAGCAACATCTGCATTTAAAGCATCTAGAGATTTGCAATGCAATACAAAGCCCACCAACATTTATGTATCGTGGTATGACTGGGATTGCCTAATGCCATCAAGTATCAAACTGACAGAGTCTGGTATGCTGTTCCCAGCCACACCGTGCCAGGCAGCACTGGGATCTGCCATGCAGCCACATCATTTGTGTTGTCCCTCACCTACCCAGCAAGGCTCTGTGAAAACATGAAGGGGTGAGTTTCACCAGGAGTAACACTAGTGACAATCCTTTGTGGATAAATGTATGTCTTCAACTCCAACATCATTCAGAGACAAAGGATGACAAATGAAGTCACTGTTCCTACATTAAATTGGCACTGCTGGTATGACTGCCTGCAATTGCTATGAATCATTTTAATATGGTTACACATCATGCAATATTATCTGTACTCTGGTTAATAATCCATTTGATAAGGTGTATTTTGAATAAGCTCACCTCATCCAAAGCTTTATAATTCCTACATTCAGGAAGTATTAGTGTGTGTACCAAGCATATACAAAAGAGAGCAAAGTACCAGACAGCCCGTAATGAGATGATGACTTCCCTCACTGTTTGGTCTGTGTATCTTTATCCTGTGCACTTCATACTAGAGCAAATTTCCTGCTTTCCTCCTGTAAGTACAGGCCCTGCATTAATGAATATGTTCGATATCAGGCAAGCCCAGGTCATAGCTCAGCATGCATAAAACCTCCCTTTACATTTCAAATTTATTTTTCCTGCTTCAACTCCTGGAAAGCTTTTTGCCATTAAAAACAAACAAACAAACAAACAAAAAACAAAGCCTACGAAGTGCTGTTCATTAATGGCATCACTCAATTTTGTTACGGCAGACTTTTTCTTCATAATTAATATGTAAAAATCTTATTTTGCTTGAATGCACTCTGTGTTTTGTTTCACATTTAATGTAATTACCAGTTTTTGTCAGAAAAGCTCTGTTTCAGTCTGAGTCTGAAATTTCACTGATTATGCTTAGCATCCAAATTCCATGGTAGCCAAGCCAAAAAGCACTCCAAGGCTTGCACTTCCTGGCAAAGTACTTTTTAAAGTTTTGTGTTAGCCAAGGCTCAGATTCCTTAACAAGGTCATACCTAGTTCCATCAACAAGACAGTCCCATTTGCTAATTGCATCAAGGGTTACCACTTCTCTCACATGTTTGAACAGGACAAGCATATATACTCACTCTCAGCATAAAGTATATCTAAATAATGTATTTTCTATTCTAGTGGATTTTTAAAAAAATATTTTGTTAAGTCTTTGGGAGCCCATCTAGTTTATCTCCGGTTGATAAACATGTTTCCTCTACTCTTCAAACTGTGCTGGAAGGTGAAAAGACAAAAATCAACACTTGAATTCATATTCCACACTTTTCTTTCCCCCCATCAAACAATGCTATTAGAGTGCCCTGGCTTCTTCTACATGTGGTTTATTCCCATGACTGAGGAACTTGCAGGAGAGACAAATCAAGAGCACACTGAAGATCCTGTGTCTCAAACGTTTCATCTGGCCACCGATGTCCTCTTTTAGCATGTATTAACACCCAGAGCAGCATCCAAGGCTATCAGCTACTAAGTCAGTGCTGGGGAAGGTCACTTTATTCTCAAAAGTGCCTCTGCATTTCAAGAAAAAATTGTAGCACCACGGTTGATTTGTTTTAAAATAAAATAATCCGGTGTGCATTATCCCCTTAAAACGAAATAACAGAGGCACTCACACCCCCAGTGAAGTTTCCTAAATCTGACCTTGCCTGTTGTATGCTAACATTCCTAAATACTAAACTTCTTCCTCTCACCAAAGACAGCATTACTACTTGTGAGCACAAATTTTACTGTCAAAGACATTTCAAGACAGTCCTATAAGAAACATCATTTTTCCCTTTCAGAAGCCAGTTCATTTAGAAACTCCTGGAGGTAAGGGTGTTATATTATGTCTACTCTTAATATTTCCCCTCCAGTCCTGACATGGTGACACAATGCCTTGCATGATCATCCTACAGTGCTGAATGAGAAGGCATAAATATTGTATCACAGAGAAAGACTCTCCCAGGTTTTCACTCACTTTCCTTATCTCTCACTGACTGTATCCGCCACTATTCTTCCTAGTCCACATACGGATGACACAGTGAGCTAACAGAGGTGACTTTTTAAAGGAGAATGCAGAGGAAAATAAGAATCACTAGTGTCACTATTATAGTTTGGCATTTTCATTTGGAGTCCTTTTATTTATATGGAGGGGTTAAGAAAGTCACAGGGTAGGTAGGGGTGGGTGCTGAAGCTAGTTATCCCCTTCAAATTTTTGCTGAGTTCAGGCTAAAAGGGAGAAGAAAAGGGAAAAATAACAATTTGACATCTGCAAAAACAATAAAGTCCCTTTCCTGGGATGAGCAGTTAGGTGGATCTTTGATGTTCCAAGACCCTGATATTTTCTGCGACAGGTTGCCGGAGCATACTCTGCTATAATATCAAAAGCATTGCCAGGAGGAACAATAGAGTTGCCAAAAGCCAGCTGGGTATCCTTGGTGTCTGTGCCGCGTTCTCACCACGGGATGGCTCGGCTGACTCATGTACGGTATCATCTGTTCAAACAGAAAGCACACATTCCAATGAGATTTTGCATCCTTAATAAACTCTCACTGAACCGACAACCATAAGTAGATTTCAGTGCCTTTATGAAATAGGGCAATGAACCTTGTGCTGTCATTGACATTCACAAGCATGTAATATCTCATTATGTAATCAACTTGGGGCCTAGTCCTGCATTTCTTACTCGAAAAACTCCCATTGAAGACCAGAGGAGCAGAAAGTAAGCCTGATTTCAGTGGATTGAGGAATGAAAGATTCCTCTTCCACTAAAAGACTGTAGCTCTAGCTTTGGATGGCTCATTAGATAGCAATAGTTGGGAGGCAGCTAAATAAAAACACCTGATTTTCAAGTGTTGCACATGCCCAGAATTAATTTCACAGTTAATCCCCTTACTCAGTTACAGATTCGGGCTCCTGAATTTGAAATGACAGCCTCTAAGCCCAAGCATATATTCCCTTCCTCACATAAAATTTCCACTGAAGTACACTGCACCTGGGGATGTGCAGGAGATCTAAGATCATTCCCCCTTCTTGAAACAGAATTTTTAAGGCTAACACATGACAATCACCAATTGTATAGAATACACACTCAATCTGGAAAATCTCACTCCCTTTTATTGTACACAAAATAGAGAAATACATATGTGCTGCTAAAACTAATGAGAAAAGAACCAGATGAGTTGGGAAAACATACTTATGCATTAGTGGCAGAAGAGAATACAGTAACAAATATTAAATTTATGGTACATAATAAACCTTCATTTAGTTTTCATAAACTACAGATCAGCCTAAAAGCCATAGATTGTAACATAAAAAAGGTAGGTAAAGTCAAATTCAGCTTCCGTGTTGTTCCGTGTATTTTTCTCTGCAAAGCCATCCATATCCCTCATATCCACATTTGGCCCTTCATATCCCCCATATCCTAATCTGGCTATTTAAAAAAGCAATCTGAGGTTTGCCATAAAAAGTTAGCTCTGACAGAAATAAGCTAAACCTTTTGGGGAAATGTGAAGTGGACTCAAAATGTATTCGTAAGTTTTTTAGAGTCCTTTAAGTTTCCAGCAAAATTAAGTGTAATAAGCTCCCCTATTTATAAGAGATGTCAACATATCTATGATGTTTCTGTCTCATAGCTCCTATCTCAAGAAACTGCACTGTCAGGATTACACTGGGTGAGAGCTGTGCAAGTCCACCTAGAGGACTAAGGGAAGCAGGAGTAAGGACACTGGGCTCACTGAGACCACTTTGGCATAGAGCCTTTCATATTACTTGGCTTTAGCTACTAACAAGCTCCCACCCCTTCCTACCCACACAACAGCAGATAGAGCACTTAGCATAATTTAGGCTAATAGGCTCTTCAGCCCCAGCTCAGTTACACAGCAAGATGCACTGTAAACTGAATTAGCAATTTATCACCTGTACTTTTTTCAGCACTAATTGATGCTATAATCACATAAGGCTTATCAACAGGTTTCAGTGCTGCTCAAGGCAAAAGTATGACAAGCAAGCACTGATCAACTGTAAATAGTTCACGTCTGTAAGAAAGGGACGTCATCTCTACTTTGGGGTGCCAAGCAATAGCACAGAAGGTAATAGGCAGAAATTGATGCACAGGAAGTTCCACCAGAATAGGAGGAAGAACTTTACTGTGTGGGTGACTGAGCACTGGAAGAGACTGCCCAGAGAGGGTGTGATTCTCCTACTAAAAAGCCATCTGGACAAAATCCTCAGTAAAACATGCTCTAGGGGACATGCCTGGGCACGGAGGTTGGACTAGGTGACCTCCGGTGGTCCCTTCCAGCCCTACCCATTCTGTGATTCTCTGATGTCAGTGGGAAAGACTGGCTGGAATGACTTTAGCTGCAGCTCCGCACCACATATGACAAGGAGACCCTCCCAGGCACATTGAGCAAGGCCCCACTATTCTTCCTCCAGAATTATTCCAAAGGAATCTAAAAATTTCAGTGAATGCTGGCTACTGAAAAGTGACAATTCCAGTGGTTGTCAATACCAAAAGCTGTTTCACATTTCAGTTCCGAGTTACAATCTTGTACTTTGATGACACTGCAATGACAATACAGTGCTTCACAAACGCTTCCTTCTCAATTAAAATATACTCTAGGAATTTACAGAGAAAAAATAACCCTGTCCTAACTGTCAGTTCTATCTTCTTTCATATATTTAAAGTTAGCTCCTCCCAATTTGAAAACATTTACTCACTGCTGATGAACTAAAACTAGAGAGAATTATGTGTATTACCTTCTATCTCTTGCATCATCAACAGAATGGCAAATAAGTCTGAATTTGCAACACTGAATGTCAACAGTTTTGTCCTAATTATATCAGTGACTCAGCACTAAAACACAACAGGCCACAACTAGTGTAAAGCACTAATAAATCCTCATCCTCTGTGACTATCAGATACTGCCACAACTGGAACACTGGCTACGGCTAAAAAACTCAATGAAAAAGCACTAAGCTAAAAAAATTACTTTGCTTAAATGAAAAATATGGAGATCTTCTATGATGCCATTTTTATAAATCCATTCTTCACAGAAGAATTGATTTCCATGTAATATTAAGGGATTCCTTTCGAGAAATCATCTGGGTTTTCTGTCAGTGCTGTTGCAAGGTTTCTGCACTTGTCTATTAGAAGACACAATTCATCTGTGGTTATGAATATTAGTCTACATATACAATTTTCCTTGGAGGTGCAGAGGTATAACTGCACTTTATTTAAGGCTTGGGAAAAAGGTTTTGCTTCATTTTAAACACTAAAGGCAAGTAATGAACAGGAAAAACTCCTGAGTAAAATCCAGAAGGTCAATGCTAAAGACTGGAAATGCCACCAGTAAATAGAAAAAATTATTTTGACAGCCATAAATTTTTCAGATCACACAGCCTCATATCACATGCCCTTCAGGTATAACTTTCAGATATGCACAGCTGCAATTTTTGTTTAGGGGCTTTTTATTTTTATTATTAAGGAGGAAGAGAAGGGGAGGACAGGAATAGAGCCAATTACTTTGATCACTTCTGAAAGAAGTGTGATCATTACAGATCAGCTTCCTACAAATTTCTGAACAAAATCAGTGAAATTACAAGGGTTCAAAAATCACACAAATGGTGATTTTTAAAAGAAAGACGACAGCAAGTAATCTGCTGAACATGACCCTCCTGTCTTCCAATTCTTCTGTCTACTGTGGAAGAAGACAATGGCAGGCCAGATGAGAGCACAGAAGCAGAGGATGTTCGCCAGAGACATGCAAATTAGTACATTACACAGAACACATGCAACAAGATCCACCAATTAATAATGCAAACACACACTGATGTCAGCAGTGGGAGTTTTTTGGTACCAAACCTTCTCATTAAAGCTATTATTTCCTCCTGGTAACATAAACAGTATTTCATCTCAGACTGCAGGATGCTCTTTGTTTAATTTTGGTTCCTTGGTTTGCCTGCTGCTTTCTAATGATGTGCTTTTGTGATGATGCTAGCTAGTTATAACCATTCAATGGGAAGTGAGCAGCACTGCTAAAAAAAATAAATATTCAGCAAGTTTACTAAAATCAGGCATTTAATACTCAGATGATCTCTTTTGCAAGCCAGTAACAGGAGAAATACACATTAATTAGACCATGTTTACCAAATCACTAAATGTAAAAAAGTGCATTGAGTTTTTAGATTCGTAGGTAACACAGAGACAGTGAAAGAACATCTTTATGTCTTCTGTACAAGAATGTTGTTATCAAATGTATAAATGTATCTAATGTAAATGCACTGTCCTTGCATTTAGATTTGCTTAGAAAACACCTTTGATTCTCAAACCTCCAAATTTTAGGAGAGTCTTGAAAATTATTTCAAAGAAAAACAATAAACCCTATTGTTTATCCATAGGCATATCATTCAAATTGGATAATTTGTGAAAATCTCATTTATTCTTCTGCATAAATAATGAATTTTAATTAAAGGAACTGCACATTACAGAGAGTAAAAAATTAGTACACTGCTTCATACATAAAGAGGAAGTCTTTCAAACAGCATAAGAGAAAAAAAATCTTGGTAATTGTTCTTCAGGGTATGTACTAAATAGCATATGGGCAATATTTTCTGGTACAATTTGTTTGTTTAACTGTGTATTTTAATTATTGAGGCTTTAATAAAACAATGTGTGAGCACTGTGTAGGTATATATAAAACAAACAGGTAAACCACTACTACAAATACTTCTACATATCCACCTAATTTTAATGTCATGAGCCATCTCATTTATGTTGCTGGGATTACATATACACCTAGAATTAAATATGCCTCTATCTATCATAAACTTGAGCCACTCAAACAACACACATGTACTTTCTACACAGAGACATGTCAGCTTGATTGATGTTGGAGATTAATATAACTTTGCCCTGGGCAGATAAGGGGTTTCATCATAGCAAGCATCCTTATTCTTAAGGCAATGTTTTACAAAAAAAAAAAAAAAACAAAGCAGAAAAGGCCTCCCCAAACTTAAGTTTGCTTCAATAAAAACAGGGGAGAAATTTTTCTACATACACACACACACACACACATATATATCAGTGTGTGTGCACATGTGTGTGTATGTACACATATGTAAAAATGATACTTTGCCTAACCATGTATACACACAAATATATATAATTTTAAAGGACTAATTTCTATATAAACACTAACTCAGTTAGTTGCATGCTTGTGTCATGCACCAGCATTAAACAAGCAGTGCTTCTGTTTTTCGGAAGGTCTTTTGAAACCATACATAATAAATGAGGTGTGCCCATTGACTTTTATTTCTAAAACTTTGGACCCAGTTAGTAAATAGGGTGTTTTGCCAACATGCTGGGTGTTTGGCTTGGATGGGCCAGTGACTTCAGGATACTGGTGAAAATTTTACACTGGCACACACCAAATTACATTAAACCATGTCACCCAAAAAAGCAAATAAAGCAACATTTTTCTTCCCCTGATTAGACAAGGATACAGGAAATATATCATACAGTGCATTAGCACTGCTAGAAATGTCCAAAAGAAGAGCAGTTGTACCATGCAAAGCATGCAGAGAGAAGAGGAAAAAAACTACTGAAGCACCAGAGGGATACACGCATTTGTTAAAAGAGATTCTCTAAGCATACTAACCTGCTGGTTCTAATGAATTTTCTACTTTGTCGTTAACATCGAAAACACGATCATGAACACCTATAGTTTTCATACAGCTGTCTATAACGAAAATAAAGATAACAGCCAAATATGTTAGTGAGACACCCTTAAACTCCCCACTTTCCTTGTTTCCTCTATTTTTTTCTCTCTATTTACTGCATATAATTAAGCATATTCATATTTTAAAATCTGTGGCACTTGTCCAAATGCAGTACACTCTCTGATCTGTACCCATTTCCAGAAACAAGTTAGCAACTGCGATGTAACTAAAGTTTTATGAAAAACAATAAGAAAATACAATGAAAATCATAATACAAACGTTGTTGTATGTAAGAACAGATACAAGATTTAACAGCTAAAAACCAGATTTACTGCTGTTTACTAGACCACACAGTAAAGCATGCACTAGAAAGCCACCCTCAAAAACTTAATCTGAAGAACTTACTTGCTGGTCGCACAAAGACCTTAAGCTTTAGGCAGGATCTCCTTCCATTATCTGGGATTGCAGAAGCTGTAAAATGAAGAACAAGGAAAGACAAGTGGAGGAGTAAGAGTGTGCAATGCAGAATATATTTTGAGCAAAAATAAACTATCCTTTATCTTCCCTTCATCTGAAGGGCTGGACACATTTCAGTCTCTGCACAAAAGACTTAAAAGTGCACAACGTAGCGTGACTACGCAAAAGCAGGAGAAGAACTGTAGGTTTTATTCTAATTAATTCCTTTATTATTTGACATGGAAGTAGTGAAGCACATAGTATTTTCAATGTTTCATTATCTCCTTTCATCTTTCCACACCTTTTTCTTGGAAGCTTTTTTGATATGTTTTTTGCTGTAATGCATGTGTCCACTCCGAAAAAACAACACTTCAGAACACTTAGAGAAAAGTTAGTCTTGAAACACTAAGCCATAGGCTTCAACAACCTAAAAAGGGACGAAAAAACAAAATGACACCAAAGGTGACAGTGCTAAAAATGGAACTCTGTATATAGTCCCAGAAAAGTAAAAATACACACCATTAAATTTTACAGCAAAGTCAGCCTCCATATGCATCTGCCTTTGTTGACAAAATATTTATCTTGCTTCAGTCAAAACACAATTTCCCATGTTATACAACTAACAAACCAAAATCAGTTTACTCCTTCTTTCTGCCCTCCCTTATCATTTCCCATTCAAAGTATTTAATTTTAAGAATACTTACTGTATTAGGAGAAAAAGAGTAAGTGGAAGTATGTCTAGCCCTAATGCAAAAGATCACACACAAAGATCCAGTGTCAACACCTACTTATTTCTCTGTTGTGAAAAATTCCTTTCTAGAACCATTCTTGCCTCAAAATACATAATCATAATATGCCTGCCTGTCAGCACAGACCGGACTCCCTTGTGTAATGTCTGCCAATCTTTACATACTGGTAACTTTCCTCAATTTTTAAATTGTACACTGGCCCACAGCTGAACATGCACACTGGCAACCAAGCAACTTGACTTGCGCATGCAGACTTTCACTTCCAAAAGACCATTCGTGTTTTTTTCTTGCAAAACCCCTCAAAAGCTATTGCCAAAAAATATTGCCTGAAACACTACAGAGTAACTTCTATTTTATTGCATCAAAAAAGCCATGTATTAAGGCAAAAGGAGCTGTGTTTTGCATTAAATGGCAACTATTGGGAAAGATGATTCAGCTGGCAAGATGTTAGTTTGTTCTGTTTATCCTTGTTTCACCCATTTTTATTAATTCTGTCCCTGTGTGTGACAAATAACTAACATGATTTATACACAGAGATATGAATGCACACTCTTTGTCTTCACGTTAAGCTCACACTTGAAGGGGTCCTCAACTAATTTGAAATAAATTTCCTAAGTCTTTGATGATGTGCTTGGAAGGCAGGCATCAGATTTTTCTTAGAAGAACTTACCAAGAACTAGAAAACTCAGCACAAACACAAAAAAGGAGAAAAGCAAAGAATATAATAAAGCTAAAGCTGTGGTTCCACATCTTGAAAGTTCTTGAAAAATTGTACCCTTTCTTTAGTCAAAAGTGAGTAGAAGCTATGCTCCCCCCCTCACAATCCCAAGCAGTCAAAAGAGAGTTAACAGATAGTTTTGCTATAGGATCTTACTAAGTCAAAGTCAGAAAATCTCCATCTATTGACATTTACAGTAACTGGTGTGTTATTTAGGGTAAAATACCCGCACTCTGTGGCTATATTCAGGAAATCTTGTCCTTTCTGTGGCCCTCACTAAATATACATAACTGGCTAAATGGTTTGTTAAGACTGAACAGGCAGTTGTAGATTTCTCAAAAGATAAGAATCATACAGTCATTACCAAATTACCAGCATAAAGGTGGAAATAATACTTGCAACATTAGACAAAATAGAACCCCTACAGTAAATTTACCACTAACAGATTTTTTCTGCCCAGAAATTATTCCAGAAGTGCATTGTGACACACATTTATTTAAAGGTAAATTTTAGCTTTGATGCTTACATGCAGTTGCTTAGGTCCATCAAATAAACACGTTTTGCTCACTGCTCTTTATTATAATACTCTGTTATTCAGTGACTAACTAGAATACCACTGACTAGCTAGGAGCCAATAAAAAAATCCAGGCAAAAAAAAATCCATTCTTTCTGGAAAACACACAAAATTAATGCTTTGTTCATATGTGTTCAAAGGTGTACTCTCAATTTTTTGCAGTAAAGTCAGGAAGATGCCCCTTTAATCGATGTTTTACTCCTTCAAAGGGAACAATGAAGAATAAAAAAAAAAAAATCAAGTAGCATTTTTCAGCGCTCGCATCTGCCTTAACAACCAAGACCAAAGTGGTGAAGGGATACAGTGCAACCTCTTCGGCCTTCCTAAGATTAGGTACTGTTTGCCAAGATGCATGACTGCAATTAATTTTTTTTCCTTCCTTTCTTTTTCTCCCATCCTCCCTCCTTCTCCCTTCTCCTTTTCCTCTTCAAAGAAAAAACATACCCCAGTGGCAGTTTTTGTCCTAAGACCAGATGCATCACCCACACGAAAGAGTCAGGAAAGGAAAAAGAGAACTCCTCTTTGTCAGCTGGGATCTGTAAAAGCTGCTTCTCAGGTAAACCAGGGCTGTTGTTGCTACATGCCACTGAAATTAGCTACAGTATAAGAAAAGATGTCCTTTCTAGGTGCTACAAAGAGAAATTTCATTCTCCTTCCTGCACCAAATCAGGTTAGCCCCTAAGGCTTTGCTATAATATTTTTCCATTTGCCCATTTTAAAGGTGATATTAGCAATAAAACAGAGGCCAGTTCTGAGAGCAGGAAGCCTCTGATACTAATGGCATCTGTCCCAAGCAACACTTTTCATTTCAAAAGCCAGAATTCCCAAGGAAAAAAAAAACGAAATTGCAGCCTTGCTGCACAACGAAAACAAACCTTTGAAAAAAGTCCCTCATAAGGCGCAAAAGTAGTTACATGCTCTTTTTTCTTCATGGATGATATTAGACTAGAAAAGATCTGACTGGTTTGGTTTGTGCCAGGAAGAATCACAATTGAAAACAGAAGAGGAACTCTGCAGCGTTGCTAGTTCCTATATGTCACTACAATTCCTATGACACTTCCCTCCTCCCTTGCCCTACCTCACCTTTACCAGCAACTTCATGACAATCTCTTGGGTCCCTCTTTTAAAGAAAATGTTTTAGACTTCATGGTTACATAAAGACTTCGTTTAGAAGAAAGTGAACACTAAAATCCCTCTGAAATAAAAAGATATATGAAAACAGCTCAATGATTACAGAAATAACTGGTTTGGGCTCTTCATTATTTTTTTAAATAGGAAAATTCCACAATTCAGAAGAAATTTAAGTCATGGCCTCTGTATTCTTCAGATTGGAGACTGGAGATTCCATCTCCATTAGCTGAACTAGAAGAAAACACATGTAATGAACTACTGCACACAGGACTAGATGGATCCAAAAATGGCCCATAAAGACAAATTAGATGAGAAAATTTCTCGTCTCTAAAACACTTCTGGTTATCATTTTTATACCCTGTAAGGAAAGGAAAGAGAGTGACAAAAATTATTCTCTCCTCATCTAGAGCCAAACCATAAATATTTCAGTGTTTGCAAGCTATATTTAAATATATAAAAAATAAAATTACACAGCTCTCAGCTAGAAAACACATGGTACATTATTAATATATTAGATATAAATAACAGGTTAGGTCCTTCTTCAGCCTGATAACACTTAGCAGTTATTCAATGACTGCAGGAAGCTGCAGATAGAGAATAAAAAAGTAACATATACAGAAAACAGTTATGCAGTTCAACTTACTATGATAAATCCCTAAAACTCATTAAAGGAGTCATCAAGATACGGCCCAATCAGTGTACAAAATAAGCTAATTAAAAAGTAAATGTACAAAACAAACAAACAAACAAAAAATAGAATTTCAAAAGTAATTTGGTTATCAGGACCTGCTAGAGATGTGACAAAAGCTGTAATTATTTCCTTTCCTAAGACAGGCAAAAATTTGGCTGGCAACTACCCAAGGCTCAGTTATCAGGATGCCACAAATAAAAAGTGCCTCAACCATCCTATTTACTGATAGTAACCACATGTAGTCAGTGGTTACTTCTGCTTGCCTCCTCACTCATTCTTAGCTTTCTAATTACAGGATTGCATCTTTCCCTAAAATGCAAGTCCTGATACAGAGAAAAAAAGGAATCACAAATGCAGTCCAAATTCTCCTTTAGCATTGCAAAGACATTTAACATTCAGGGCATAAGTCACTCTGGGCCCTATTAGACAGCAAAACCAGTTCAGCGTAGAAAAAGGGCTCCGTTTTTCTGAGTCACTCAGATAGTACCTTTGTTTAGTATGGGGGCGGGGATACTGGTAAAGGAGCATCCTTTTCTTTATGAAGAAACCCAACACCTTCAGTGCACCTCTGCAGACACACTGCAGATGGTAATTCTCTTACTATTTTGTATTTCAATTACTGTTACCAGTTCACTTGGAGTATTCTCTAAGGGATTACAAACCAGTGATCATGAAACACAGGAGACAGTCTGCTCTCACTGCATTTTTGAAAAATGTAACGAATGTTTTCTTCTGCTCTCTGCTAAGAAGTCCATCAAACAGGGTCTCCTGTAGGGAAGAACTGAGAAATCACACCAAGATCTCACCTCAGTTCATTGAAGATGTACTACTACCACCACCTCTGTTACACAGATTCTGGCCCTGGTAAGTGCTTCCTAACCATAAGCACTAAACAGAAGAATTGTTTCAGACTGGGAAACCAATAGAGGATTAATTTTGAACTTCTCCCCAGCACACTAAACTGACACATGCAAACAGCTTAAGTAAACACCTAACACTTACTGTCCAGGCAAAAGGGTTGCACGTGTAACTTCTGTAATCATGTGGAGAAACACCACAAAGAGAGAACCTGCAGCAATCCCATAAACAGAATGCTACATGTTGTAAATCAGAAACTCATGTTTACACAGTCCTTGCACTCTCTTAGTCCTG